TTGGGCTGCTTTCTGAACCCGAACCTCGTTTTCGTTGTCCCTCACCGTTTGTATCACCATGTCTCGGCGTTCTTTGGCTGAGGCCTTTGACCACCAATTGACTTTCCCGTGCCCTAGGCCTCGACGGTCGGTTTGTGTGTAACCCATTACCTCCTTCAATTTTAGTGCGTTCTGAGCAGATTCAATCGCATCGAGGACCCTCCACTTCTGGCCAGTCTTTAGAGCGGGCTGGACAGCGATGACATTTGGGTCTGAGGACTCGCGCAAAAGCATGGCGAGCCTAACTTTGCCGACTTTAAACTCTTCGGTTATTGACTTGAACGGAAGTACCAGCTTAGCCTGTTTACAATACAGAGCCACGTCGGTCAGACAAGGCGGTGCGCCAATCCACTTTCTTAAGGCTGTGTTGATTTTCTTTTCCATGGTTTCCACTGCAGTCATCGTCACCTCGTAGACTAGCAGTGGCCATAGAAGCTTCGGAATCAACATGAATTGGAGACACCATACCTTGAATTTTCCGATCAGCCTGCATCGCTCGATCGCGAGCAGGCCTGTAGCCAGTGACTCATGTATTCGCCGGACTTCCGCTCTGTCAGATAACTTCGAATCGTAGACGCGACCGAGGCTCTTCACCGGTTCCTCCAGAACCGTAGGGATCTTGTTCCTTGCCACCGTAAAACTGGTCGCCGACACCTTGCCCTTATGGATTGACAGACTCCTCGACTTCTGCAGTTTGAACTGCATACCGCTCCATTGGACCACCGCGTCCAATCTTTCCAGGATCGTGCGGGCAGACTCCTCGCTGCCCGTTATAATAGTCGTGTCATCCATAAATGCGCGCAGTGGCGGTAACCAGTGATCCCCTATTTGAAGGCCCAGTCCGTAGCCGGCCGCCCCGTCCAACATGATCTGCATTGCCATGACAAACAGTATAGGTGAGATCGTACACCCCATAGCTATCCCAATCTGCAACTCAGTCCACCTCGTGGTAAACGTCGAGGTAGAGAAGCGCAAAGCGAACTTAGAGAAATATTGCTCGACCATTTGACTGATCTGTGTCGGTACGTGAAACATGCGAAGGGCTCGCCACAGTAGCCTATGGGGGACTGCCCCGTAGGCATTGGCTAAGTCCAACCATATAACGTGCAAATTGGTTCTCTCATGCTTGGCTCTCTGGATAGCCTCCCAAATCATGGTCGCGTGTTCAAGGCACCCAGGAGCGCCTGGAATGCCACCCTTCTGAACACTCGTATCTATGTACTTGTTAGTCATCAGATACTGTGTGAGCCGGCGAGCCATGACTGAGAAGAATATCTTACCCTCAACATTCAACAGCGAGATGGGCCTGAATTGGGAAAGACTCTTCGAGTCCTGCTCTTTGGGAATGTAGACCCCATTTGCCTTTGACCACTCTGGACATATGTGATTGCGGATCCACGCTTGTCTCAACAAGACGTGAAGCATTTTAAGGATTTTCGGGCAACGCTTGTAAAGAACGTACGGAACACCGTTCGGACCTGGGGCAGACTTGCCGCTGGCTTTTTTCACAACGTCCTCAACCTCAGACCAAAGGGGAGGTACCAGTTTAAATGGTACCTTCGGCACCGAAGGCTGTTTAAGACCGCTAAGGATCTCTGGATTGTCATCGAGAGGCTCACTCCTCTTTTTATCCGAGTACATCTTGCGTAGATGTAGCTCTAGTTCTTCCTGACTGACAACCAGAGTCCCAGACTTCGGTTGCTCGAATAGACCTCGGGCAAACTGATACGGGTCCCTAAAGAATTTCTCTCGCTCCCTTTTGGTTCTACGTCTGTTGTTACAGAAACGCTCGGCGCGACAGAGGGCACTGTGTTTGTTCTTTAAATGCACCCACACTTCGTACAGCCCCTCCCGTTCGCTGCCCGTAGCGGCTTTGAACCGTTTTCTGAGGGCATTCTTGTCTGCCCGACACTTCAGAATGTCCCTCTGCCTCCTGCTAGTATTCTGCTTGGCACCCGGCTGTGCCTTTACTACTGTCCTGAACTCGCGGGAGCAGTGTTCATATATTACATCACCAAATTTAGTAAGCTTGTCGCCTAGCGACTTCTTGTTTAGAGTTTGTTTAAGTACCTCACATAATGTAGCCTCCAACTTACACACACACCACCTTCTCGCTCGCAGGTGGAAACCTGATCTTGGAACGCACTTCTTCAGAAATCATCAAAGGTGCTCCTCCGCAGTCGACGTCATGGGCCTCTCCGGGCGAGTGGGGTTCACCCTGCCCGTCGTTCCCTAACGACTCAGAAACTACCACAGGAGTAGTAGTTTTGCGACGGCGTTTACTGCGTGGAGCACCCTCGCATTTCATTCTTCCGGCATGCGTTCTCAGACCATGCAACCCCGTGAAGCTTTTCCCACATGTACAGAGCCAGCCCGGACGTTGGGCGAGTGTCTCAGTCCGGGGGCTAGCAAAGTCATCAACGAGGGTATCAATCAGATTTGGCCCTTCATTCTCCCCCCCCCCCTTTCGGAGGGCCCTGGGGGCATATTTCATTGTGGTTTAACGCAATCGGAGGTATTATACTGTGTTAGGGGTGATCAACCCGGTCCACAGTCGACATCTGTCTCCAGATGTCAGTTTATCCCCCCGGCGATACCGGGGGGCCAGTCTTTCCAAAGGTGTCAAAAGGTCTTTCCCGATAGTCACCAGTCTTTCCTGGTAGTCTTGTGGGCTAGCCACGTACAATAAGAATAAACTCACAGGGAGCAAGTACAGCGGGGATCTACAGTCATCAGTAGAAATTATCCTCTTTCGACACACGTTTCGGCCCACGATTCCTAAACGTATTCGGAGGTGGGCCCACCTGAGTTCATGAAGCTCAGGGCTGCTTCCCCGCCGCACAGAATTACCGGATGGTGTTATACTTTCGGCCAGAGACAAGACGACTTGGTGGTTTCGAAGGAGGTACTGTGAGATAAGAAGTCGCCACGACAGCGTAATGAACCCCCATACCTGGAAGAGACTGAAGGGGGAGGGGGAAAACTGTCCATGGGCTCTAGTGGTAACTCCCGGGAAACGCAAGACAAGTTCTTAACCAGGTGACAGCAGGTACCAACAGTATACAGATTTTTCCCTGGCTTTTGAAGAAGGAGAGGAAGCTAATATGGTTTTGTCCTTGGAGCTGTGATGTCGAATCTTATACCCATATCAACCCATATATTGTATGTCATGGTGATGAACTGGCTAACATGTTCTCTCCTGGTATTGCTCGGCCTTAAGATCTTCAACTCTTGTGTGATTCCAGTGCTAACGTATGAAGTTGGAAAGCGACAGTAGCTCTACATTAAAAACAGATGTCTTAAAAGAATACTAAATCTTCATCTTAGTATCTACTGCGTAATTAAAAGTCCAACTTTCAAGCTTTTTTCATTGTGTCTGTTTTTCTGTTCATACATCTTCTGAGTCGTAGACTATCTCCCAGTCCTTTAGAAAGAGAATATGGGCTTTTGAGCTGAAATGCTATAGAAAAATTCTCAGAATATCTTGGACAAAGAAGAGGAGAAATAATGGCATTTGAAAGATCTGAACATCAAGGAAGATTGGCTAATATACAGCATCCTGCCTCGGAAGCTGAAATATTTTGGTCGTATCAAGCGCCACGAGGGATTGGAAAAAATTATGGTTGAAGGCATGGTACCAGGAAGGAGGGGCAGGGGCCGACCAACAGTATGATAGGTACATGTATAAGTGACTCCTTGTGTATGAAAGTACATGAGGCGGGAGAGCTGGCGAGAGTTTCTTTCAGGCAGACCGTGATGAGAGCGACGTTCTGCAAAGGACCTGTTACATGATAAGGATGACAGCTCTTGTTAAACAAAATGTGAGCAGCTGAAAGAGGTAAAACGTTTGTCTCATTGTTTTTTCTTCATTTCCTTTATTATTTCACCTAGTACGTTTGTACTTGAATAAGGCAACAGTAAAAATAATTATTGATTGGTCAGACCAACAATAGACACAATAGAAAATGTAAAGATACCGGAACAATAAACACACATCTCCTATTCTGGTCATGTTTTATCAGGATTTAAAAAAAAAAAAGACAGAAATGGAAATCAAAAATAGTAAATGCTAATAAATAGTTTCAGTGACGTGTGAAACATCTAACTTCGAGGATGACTTAGAAGAGAAAATAAACGACATTAAAAGTTACAGTTGTCAAATATTATCTATATTCATTTCTAATATATGATGCAGAAAACCGAACAATGGAGAAACAATTAGCAATTCTAAACGAGATTACTGAGAGAAAAAGAGAATCTTTTAAAAAATAACACCCAATGAAGGGGAAAAATTGAAGCCGGTGAGCAAGATGTAGACCACGATACAAGTAAAAGAATAACACCTACAAACTTCGACAACACGTTTTTTTTTTTTTTTTTTGCGTGTGTAGGAAACAAGGAAATGTGTCCCTGCAAGTTGACAAATGAAAATTCTGAGAATGTTCTGCAATACTAACTATTTAAAGTTGACTTCGCGGCGACCGGGTGACGAACTCCTTGTGGTCTGGGTTCACCCCCGGGGGTAGGCAGAAAAGCCACATTTCTCCCAGATATAATATATTTATCATGGAATCATGGCCGAAGGGTTGCGATATCCATAGTACCGAGCCAAAGGATTAAGAACTCGTGGTTTCTGGATTTTGGAGGAAAAAAAATACTGCTAATAGAAAAGCCATAATTTAACCTTAGTCACGACAAACCTACAGAGAATACGTGTAGATTTGGACTGCACGATAGCTTAAAGACGTTTTGTGGCAGAAGGATCAAAGAAAACGAAGAAAAAAGAGTACAACCATGGCAAGAGAGACCAGTAGTTGGAGTCAGTGAAGCCTACCTTCACTGTAAAAACGGCACCTTATTTTTGGAAAATGAATAATAATTATCACACATGTGCATCACGTGATAGTTTTACCGCTACGAAATAGACTGACCCTTCAGGGACACGTGGTCAAGGCGGGGACTTAATCACTGACCTCAGCCAGCGTAAGAATGTCTTCGTGGTGACGTATACCCATGGAGAATCTAGGTGACCTGGGATTGGTCCACTCTAGTCCGGGGTTGTATCTATTTGGCCCTGGGGTGATCAGCTTGCAAGTTGGTGCTTTCAGTTTGTGTCCCATAGTAAATGCCGGGCTTCCATTGAGAACATTCGGGGTTGTGTTGCTGTAGTGAGCGGGACCAGGTGTTTGTGCGTAGTCATAGGAGAAACTCTGTGGATAAAACACCAATAGAAGAACTGCAGCTAAACAGAATCAGTAGTGTACATTGTTATGCTATGAATAAGTGATACATATAACAAACTTTGACTAGAAAGATAAACGGAGGGAATGGACAGAACACGTATAAATACAATCGAATTTGTCGGCTGTAATCTTTACTAACAGACACACCAGCAAAATTAATAACACCCAAGGGTTACGATATAAAAGAATAAGATAAACCTAAAAATATGAGAAATATAAACAAGTTATATGCATGAAAACACATTAAATAATGGTAAGTTGACTGTTAATCTAAACAAACAGTGCAGAACCATAATTAGGAAGGGTCAACCATGGGCCTAACGAACATTCAAGACCTCAACCAGGTGGCAATGAACCGCTAGATATGGAGAGCTATGACCTCTGCCCTATGCGCTGCCCTAGACTCGAGTGGTTCTCTCTTTTCGATGAGTATGCTCGTGAAGATAGAGGCTGGGTCCGAAAGCTGGTTGGTGGCTCTACAGCGTTCACGGCTTACAAGGATTAGTCTCATTGTCGTGCCAGGAATTAGGGGGTACAAGGAAATAAGCAAGCTGATAGACTTGCAGGAAAGGCTACTGTAAAAGCCGGACAAGCCATGGACCAGGCTGAAATACTGAATGCTCTAAGAGAGTTAAGACTTTTGCGTGAACCAACTGAGAACTGTGAATCTGCAACCATGGTCAGACTGCAAGAACAGCAAGTTAAACGTGGTGTCACCAAACAAGAACACTACGTGGGTAGCCAAATGAAGAAGAATAAACCAACAAAGAAATGGTGTTGTCAGTCGCTACACGCTGCAAGATTTACTGAGGAGGGGATCCGAGCACTTGTTGACTGAGTGGTTCAACGTGTAATGAGGATAATCAGTCGACTAACTAACTAACTAACTAACTAACTAACTAACTAACTAACTAACTAACTAACTAACTAACTAACTAACTAACTAACTAACTAACTAACTAACTAACTAACTAACTAACTAACTAACTAACTAACTAACTAACTAACTAACTAACTAACTAACTAACTAACTAGCTAACTAGCTAGCTAGCTAGCTAACTAACTAACTAACTAACTAACTAACTAACTAACTAACTAACTAACTAACTATTTAACTGACTGACTGACTGACTGACTGACTGACTGACTGACTGACTGTTGATCTCTTCGGACTCTGTAGGACTAAGAACCCCGAAACTATAAATTTTCCAAGGAGACGAGGCTGAAAAAAGGACCTTCATCCTCACCTTTTGCTATCACGTAGACAATGACTAGATCACAGGAAAAAAAAAAGCACCACATACGGAATGGGCCGTCTCCGAAAGGCCACCAACAAAACAAGAAGGGACAGTGTTGTACACGCTAGCATAAGCGAGAAGGTTGGAACAAGGGAGTGCCTGAATTACATTCAATGAAAGATAATGAAGTTGTCTGGGCATTTAGTACAAATGTAGCCAGACCAAACTGTATACGAGAACATCTAGTGCATAACAGCTGGGTGGAAGACGAGAAGAAGACCAAGAAAAATGTGGACAGATGGCAAGCCCAAATCCGCAAAAGAAGGATACAAGTTATTCTAGAAGCACTGATACGGAAAAATACCTCACTGTGTTATAACTAGGTAACAGTCTTAAAAAAAAAAAGAGATTAGTATGATCACCGGAGCAAGATTTTATAGCAGTAACAGAGATGTCGATTTCGCTTTGATGGTTAGAACCTTACAGTCTTGCCTAGTCAGTCTTGTAGAGACCATGTGTTGCCCATGCATCATGATCAGTCTCTCATCCTGCCTTGTTTCTGTTTTAAAGAAAATGTAACACCGAGTCAAAGTTCGCTGAAGAAGCTGCCAGATCAGAAGAGCAATACTCTGTACGCCAATAGCAGCTTCTCTCCTAGACCAGCTGCCATCCAAGGCTCTGTCTTGACTGAAAATGAAGTTTTTAGCTGCATTTCCTCTTCCTAAAATGAGTATTACCTCCCAAATGCGCTTCCACGCCCAGATCCGTTAGCACAATGAAGAATGTTTGGTATACCCAACCCAACGTTCGGTGTTAAAAGAAAACAGGTTTCACCAACTGTTAGACGGTAGCTCAGTCATGTCTACCAAGACTTAACAAATCCTCCTCATTAATTTGCAATCCTGCCGTTAAATGACGTGGGGAGGAACAGTTTGCGATCAATTGCTTGATGAGCAGCAAGGGTTATTGTTATTACGTGTCGATGTAGAAACTCTTTAATATCTCAAACCATATCCTCATAGGGCTGACTCTTGCTTTCACTTCTGATCTTTTCATATGTAGCGCCTTCATTGGTAGTTGTTTTGGCAGAAATGAAGTTACCAGACAGACTGTAGAAACACCACCATGCAGCAAATTCACCGAGAAATGGCAGATCAAAAAGTTTTGTCTCAAGTAAGAATGCAAAGTAAGACTTTGTCTCGGATGGTCAAGTTGGCGGATTTTCTCAGGCATCTCATTTCGCTGGTGTTAATTATACGTAGGTTAGCTTTTGATAATATTTAAGCCTAAAAGTGTATCGAAATGAATAGATTGTTCATAATCTGTTTGTTGGCGCACATGCCTAATAAGGATATCAGTTGGTATATAGGTACACAGGCTCGTTGGCATCTTGGTTTTGTTTCTTTGTCTATTCTCCCGTCCTCCGAGTATATACTTCCTAAAAATTCAAATTCTTAAAGTTACTTCAGACAAGTACCTGACACCTAGGGCAGTCGATAATCGGCTAGCTTTCAAATCCAGCTGCGACTCGCTGCAGCCCACGGTCGGTGTTCGAAACTGGGCGGTTCCCGGGGTTCACCAAACCTCTCGGAAATGGGTACCAGAGTCGACACTCTGTGGTAAATGGAGGAACGTCGCTGTAGCGAACGGGGACACAGGCAGACAATTCTTATCAGCTGTCCGTATTGGTGGCAGAGCACTTATGGTTTATAACAGTGTGCAATGACGATGGTTCACATCTCCCGACTTTTACCTGACACACAAAACGTACAAAAACAAACAACGCGAATAGAGAATAAAACATATACATAAACATGCTACCGTTATATCCGAATTCCTACATCCAATCAGCGCTGCCCTGTGGTTTCTGACCAGGTCTGAAGAGATGATGTAGGCGTTGGGTCCTGGCCCCTCTGTCTTGTAGCTGGGTTTGTAAGGGCAGCCAAAGCTATATGCTGGTGGTTTTCTGTCCGTTATGTTGTTGCTGATGGCATACACTGGGCCAGGCGAGTTAGACGAGGCTGCTTCTGTGTGGGAAAAATGGCTTTGAGAATTTAGGCACTTTATAAAGACACATTAAGAATTCTTTGCTACTAATACCAGTCTCAGAATTGATCTTTGTTCCCAGCTCCACCCAAAATTTGGTATCAATTAAAGTAATGGACTTGAAGGGGACTGACTGACTGACGTTCTACCCCACAAGGACATCACACAAGCGATAAACATCAGATGACACAATGTGCCACCATGTGGATGAGGATCACCGGCTCTCTAGCGAAGTTGGTTAAACCTGACTTTCGCGGCGGCCGGGTGACGAACTCCTTGTGGTCCGGGTTCACTCCCGGGGGTAGGCAGAAAAGCCACATTTTCTCCCAGATTAACGGTACCTATAATGGAATCAAGGCCGAAGGGTTGCGATATCCATAGTACCGAGCCAAAGGGTTTACAACTCATGGTTTCTGGATACGTTAAAAAAAAAAAAAAAAAGGTCCCAGAAACCGCGTTAAAAACAAAGTCATTAAAAACCAAAATACATCAGTTTGTTCACTTGTTGTTCTATTATTAATAATATTTAGGGGCTTGTGTGGTCTCGAGGCATGATGTCTGCATCGAGTGCTGGAGGTTCCGGGCTCAATTCCCGGTAATGTCTGGGATTTTTTTTCTCGTGGACTTGGAAATCAAAAAGAGTAGCCTTACGGCGCTGCTGGGCAAAATTTGGAGTTACAAATCTACCCAAAGTATTTCAGGAGACTTGTCAGTGCTACAGAGCCTGTGCATTGTGCTTAGCTTCTTCGGACTCAGACTTGATTTTGAAGAAGAACGGTGCACTTATTGGTTACTACCCGTGTGCCATGATGTTGATCCGTTGTTCAAAACCTCAAACCTCAAGCTTTATAATTGATATTGGTGCACGGGCTTACATCAGTAAAGGAGCTTCAATCACTAACTAGGTCAGGGTTGGCGCTAGTGAGTTGTTGCATACAAGTAGTTGCCCACATCTGGATTACAGTAGTCTGTATGACAACTCATCTGGTTCTCCCAGCCCCCACCTTTCTTGTTAACACTGCTAGGAAAGAGGCAGCCCCGTGGTGTAGCAGCTAGACGCTCGTCTGCGGATCAGAAGGTCATGGGTTCAGGTCCTGTGGGAATCAAACTTTTTTGTTTCTTGAAAAATGAGCTTCGCTCCCAGCCTTAAAAAGGTTCTCGGTACAGTTCTGGTAAGTAAAAGCGGCCAGCGGGATGTTTACCACGTCACTCAAAGAGTGTGGAATAGTCTGTAAAATATAGGTCTAGCCCTATATGCCCAGTACGACTGGGGGCGTGGAAAAGGGTCCTTACTTTCTTTTACTTATTGTTGTTAGGAAAGAAGTCCCGTCTCTAAAAGAATCGAAGAAGTAGTGGATGAGATGCAACTGGAGGCCAAGAGAGAGAGAGAGAGAGAGAGAGAGAGAGAGAGAGAGAGAGAGAGAGAGAGAGAGAGAGAGAGAGAAAGAGACTGACGGCTGACTGACTCTCCACCCCACAAGGACATCACACAAGCGATAAACACCCGATGACACAATGTGCCACCATGTGGGTGAGGATCACCGTGGAGAGGCTATAATGCGGCCTCTGGCAAGAGCCAGAGTAGGGCTTCAAATAACGAAAAATTCCATCCTAAAAAGGAGGGGAAAATATATGAGAGAGAGAGAGAGAGAGAGAGAGAGTGAGAGAGAGAGAGAGAAAGAGAGAGAGAGAGAGAGAGAGAGAGAGAGAGTAATATCAGTATAACAGATTACGAACAACCATGCTGACCAAAGTCTAACAGCTGGACTAGAAAGAGTGAATAAGAAGAAGTAATAAAAACTATTTCAGCTTTGTTGTGTAGAATAAGATAATCTTTTACAACTAATGCCCAATTAGAAACTATAAAACATGAAAGTAAAACCATGTTTCTTAAATCGATTTGATAGGTTACGTCCCCATTTGGCAATACCAGAGACCAAAATTGCAAGTAAAGAAATGAACGCAGATGGGAAGTAGTTGCCTGACTACGTGCTTCATTATTTGAGAACATGCTATGGCTGAGCCAATTCACCACCAGCAGCTGACGATCCTGAAAATTGGCAGCGTCACCATATACTAGACTAACTGTAGGAGCAGAGAGATAGGAGGTCACAATGCCCGGCCTTCAGATAACTGTGCAACCGTCGGGCGTTCAAAAATAACATTGCGGTAGAACGGATTTCGAAGATTTATACCAGGGGGATTATCATCCGAATAGTGACCCTTTGCACTTTGCCTCACTGGGCTCTGCATGCGGTCTTTTTGGGGTGCAACGTCACTCTCTCATCGAATGATGAAAGTGATAAGCTTATCAAACTGTAAGGTGCTGATGCAGTTTCGTTTTGGCCTACGGGAATTATTAAACATCTTTTTCGTTATCATCATCATCCAAAGCACTAATATTAAAAACAACCTAAAAGAAATGATTATAAGTAACTTTTCAATCACATAAGCACAATCATTACCAGCTGAACATGTTGCGGCAAATAAATCTAGAAACACCACAATATCATCAGTCCGTATCCGGGGGGGGGGGGGGGGGGCTGTCTCTGGCTTTCATTTCAGATCTTTTCATGTGTAGCGCCTGCGTAGATAATTGTTCCGGCTGCATTTTTACAAGATGACCAAACCATTTGATCTTCTGTTTCTCAGTAAAGTTGCTGCATGATGTTGTTCCCACAGTCTGTATGATAATATCGTTTCTAATGTTTGCCTTGTATAGTTAAGTTGGCGGCTTTTCTCAGGCATCGTATTTCACAGGAGTAGTGTATCAGCGTGATACAGGTATTATTTGAGAAATCGATCTCTCTTTATCCTTAGTAAAAGATGGCGGCCAAAAGTGATTGGTCTGTTCGTGTGGCTTTATATATCCTTAGTAAATATCGATCGGGACAGCCACCCTCTTTGTCCTTAGTAAATATCGATCGTGTGGCTGAGGACAGCACGCGTGCTTGGTTTTAGGCAAAGGTATAGGAAATCGATACTTTGTAGGCATTATTATCTTCATAACTGCAGGTGACAGGTGGCGTTATATAAAACGGGGGCAGGCAGGAACACTATTTAGGTGAGCAGCGGGGGCAGGGGACCCGGGGCGACTAGGAAGGCGGCATGATGACCGGGGATGTATTAGAAAGGGCAGATTGGGCGCCGGCATCATCATCTATGTCATGGTAGCGAAGGTCGACCGCTCATGGATGGTTTGAGCTGTAGTAAAAAAGGACGACAGAATGCTGGGTGTCTGGTAATACTGTGGAGGGTCGAAGAGAAGGGGCATAATTGGCAGACTATCTGACTTTGTAAATAAGTGGGCGAAGGTTCTGATTGGTCAGTAGGCTTCAGTGGTTATTCTGCTGGAACAGTCGATTTAGGAAAAACTCGGCAGTTGGTGTCGCTCAACGGGGTACGCCCGCCCGGCCGTCGGTACGCACGCACACACGCACGCCCGCGGGGGTCGTTTTAGGGGATAGATACAGAAACCTATGAAAGTGGTTTGATGGTAGGGAGAAAGTGAGGCTGGGGCGCCATCATCATCATCATCCGCGTCGTCGTAAACTGTCCTTTTTCTTAGTAACGGTAAGCAGTTTAAGAATAGTTTTCAAATCGATAAAAGTAGCTGTTTGGAAACAGACACTATCATTATAAGTTATGGACCCGCGGTGGAGGCATCCCTTTACCTCTCTGATAGCCGGACCTACCGGTAGCGGTAAAACTGTATTTGTGCAGAAGTTTTTAAAACATTTGAACGCTATGGTCGACCCGGTGCCGGAGGAGATTATTTGGTGCTACGGGGAATGGCAACCTCTGTATGACAACATGGAGGGCGTCATCTTTAACGAAGGTCTTCCGGATATGGAACAATGGCAGGGAGATAGACGACGTCTAGTGGTCATAGACGATTTGATGTCTGAGACGGACGACAGAATCACTAAACTATTTACTAAAGGCAGTCATCATCGCAACATCAGCGTGATTTATATTGTACAAAATCTTTTTGGAAAAAATAAAGAACAAAGAACCATCAGTTTGAACGCGCATTACCTGGTAGTTTTTAAAAACCCTCGTGACGGTTCACAGATCACCAACTTGGCCAAACAGATCTATCCCGGCCGCGTTTCCTACGTCCAAGAAAGCTTTAAAGACGCGACGGCTAACCCCCACGGTTATTTGCTGTTCGACCTCCGACAAGACACCCCAGACCACCTCAGACTACGCAGCGAAATATTCCCCGACGAGAAACGAGTAGTGTACGTACCTAAATAATGTCTGACAAGCTAAAGCGACACGGCGAGATGCTGCGTTTTTTGTGCGAGGCGAAAGCCCACACAGCCAAAGACATCATAAAAACCGCCTCACCGGAGCTCGTACAGACACTTTGTGAATGTTGTCACAACGTATTAAAAGGTAATGTCGCCCTGACATCCGATCAGAAGAGACGTTTGTGTCGTTACAAAATCAACCTCAGAGCGCTCACCAAAAAGAAACTTTCAATCAAAAAGCGAAAAGAGATTTTACAACACGGTGGGTTTCTCGGGGCGTTATTAGCGCCAATACTAAGTGTGGTAAAAGGTATCTTGGGTTTCTAACCATGGCCAAGAAAATGATATTGATCGACCCGCGTATGATGGACTCTGTGTTTCAAAAACAATATGTACCACCCGATACAGTCAATGATAGCCTACGTGATTTGGATACTCATATGCAACATGTCCTGGAAAATGAAGAGCTGTCGCCTCGTGACAAAGCCCGACTATATCAACAGACATTACAACGTTACTTGACTCGTCTGGATCATTACCGACACAAGTCATTGGGCGTAGTGGATATTAAAACGCCCACAGAAACCCTACCGTCGCCGCCACTACCAGTAACACTAAAAACAGAAGACAACGAGATTGTAGCTCATTCATCGCCGCCTAAAATTGTCAAGAAGACAGCTGACTCTGAGACACCACCGGTCTCGTCGTATAAACTGAGACAAAGA